TATGTATGTACATATATATATATATATACACACAATTTTCTTCAATTAAAAAAATAGGCACTTTTATGACCATTTTCTTGAAAATTATCCGATCATTAAGGGGTTAAAGAACAGCTCTTAGTACTGTTAGATAGGTGTGGATCTTGATGGCCAGAGAGGCAAGACTTTGAAATCGACATACATCCATTTCCTCAAAATGGCAGTCAACAATGATATCACATGGACCTCAAACTTTGTAAAAAATAAAAGGCAGCTTTTCCATGCACAAACTAATAAATCCAAATAATAAATTTGGGGTGCAACAGTGAGGAGTGCACTCAAAGGCATATACAGTGGATGGACAAAAATATGGAAACACCTTGTAAAATGCATGTTTGAAAAGAAAGATTGATTGAGGAGTGCACTCAAGGCATATACAATGTATCTGCAAGTGTCAGCCTATCGCAGCAGGAAATACTAGTAATGCTGCAAGTTTTCCTAAGCCAGAGAATGATGCTAGTAATTGCAAAAAGATGATAATGATTAGAATAATTTAATGCACACTACCATGCTGCTTCTTTTGCTCAATGACTGCATTCATCATAAAAAAGAATCATCTCATAGTACTGCTAGAATACATACCATCTCATAGTATAGCCACGTTTTGACTCAAAGATCATGCATACACAGTCTAACAAATTTTCTCAGAATGGGAAATTTATGCTTCCCAACAAAGCATTTGTAGCAGCTCCATTTACATATTATCAAACATTCCCAGCCTGCAAATTTACGCTTTCTAATGAGGCATGCTGTAACAATTCAATTTACATACTCTCATTCATCCATAAGTTTTGTAGGCAAACTTCATTTAGAGACTTTGCACTTTGCAGTTTTATTAGTGATGTATTTATGTCAGTGATCAGATATCACAGCATCTGCATTTCAAGGTTTCTATTCAACTGATTGATCTGTAAAGGCCTAATTTATACTAAATTGGTGATACCTCACAAGTCTCTCTCTTTCATAGCTTTCAGGACAACCAACCTCCAAAATTCATCTCTAAGGACATTGCAGTTGGAATCATTTGATCAGAGTACAGTCATGATTTGATCAGAGTCAGAGATAGACACAACTTCCATAGCTTTAACTTCCTGCACTCAAATTATTTCAATATTCAAGGGTTTTACCATACACCCTGTAGATATACGTATATAAATATATGCTAAAATGGGAATGGTATTTTACACATGCAGTGTGTTTCCCAACTAATGCAACAATCCTTAAAAAATAACAGAACACATTGAAACAAACGCCTTCCATCATAGAATGCACAGTTGCAAGTGCAGTGGATTTGTGTCGGAGGGCAGTCAGGCACACACATAAAAAAGTTAAGGTTTTTCTCAAGCAAGTTCAGTAGTGATGGAGAATGGAGCAATATACAGATGAGGATAATGCAGATAGGCATTTTGTGAACAATCTCAGTGCCAGTAATTGCAAGCATATGCAAATGCTTTATGAATGTAACATACATTATTATGAATCAAATTGTTTGAAACTTTAAACTTCCCGGAATGGTTCTGCTAAGTAGACGATACTTTTACCCTGTTTGAAGGTTATAAAGATGATTTAAATAAAGCTTTTTCATCAATGAATTCTATTGACCCTGCTATTCAGTTCACTTTTGAACTTGCAATTCTCTTTCGTTTCTCGACATTCTGGTCACACGTAACACATCCAACTTCAGTACTACGATTTACCAGAAACCTTCATCGGTTTGCCTTCCACCACATTTTAAATCATGTCATCTGACTAAACAAAAGTTAGCTTCATTTTATTCCTATGTTTTCCGTGCTCTTCAAGTTTGCTCCTCCAAACTATCACTTGATGAAGACCTAAATTATTTAAAAACAATAGCTATTGACAAGGGCTTTTCTCCTAACATTATTAATCAAGCAGTTAAAAAATTCTCATCTCAACACACCAAAAGACACGCTCTTATTTTAGGAGATTATAAAAATTCTGTTGTCATTCCCTTCTTTCCATCAATTAGCTATAAAGTTGCTCATATTTTGCAGAAATTTAACTTTTGAGTCGTTTATTCTCCCATCAATAAAATTCCGAGTTCCATACTCAAGGACCCCATTCCAGATATGAATTCCTATGGTATTTACAGGATTCCTTGCCAGTGTGATTTAATTTACATTGGCCAAACTAAGAGAGCCTTAAAATTTCGCGTCAAGGAACATGAGGCATACGTTAGAAAAAAGGAAACACAGAAGTATTCTGTTGCCCAACATTGTTGGTCTGAAAATCACACTTTCAATTTTTCTGCTGCCAAAATTATTCAAAAACCATCTTCCATTGGTGAACTGGATTTTCTAGAGCAGTGCTCTGCAACCTTTTCTCACCTGCGACGCACAAAAAATCTTTCTGGAATTTCGTGGCACACCAAAGAGTTCTGAGTTATCAAGGAAGTGCCGAAAAAATTCAAATGCTGACACACTTACAATCACACACACAACCACACAACAGTGAAATATATAAAAACATTTAAAATAGACATTATTAAGGAAAAAAATTGTCATTGTGTATTAAATACATGATAAAAAATTGCAAAATGTCAAATACATGTATTTGATTGCGGCACACCTATATCCTACTCATGGCACACCAGTGTGTCGCGGCACACCGGTTGCGGAGCACTGTTCTAGAGGCATTTCACATTCAAAAAATCTTTCTGTTCTAGTTGACTCTAATTCCAATCCATCTTTTACCTTCAGCCTTTAAAGAAATTATATTTTAGTTCTGGTTTCATCAACAGATGGCACCAGTAACTTATGTCCTGTTTAGGCTTTCTTATTTTATCTTATCTAATAATTATATCCTATCTCATCAATTTGCGCTTTTGCAGCTGAGGATGATGGTTCGGTAAAACCATCTAAACTAGTCCCGTGAAAATTTGAAAATATAACGCAGATTTTTGTTGTTTGACTTCTAAATTAATAGTTGTTCGGTATGTTATTGTATCTTTGTCATAGTCCTTGTTTTTGAATTTTCGGTACTAAACCTTTACAGTGTCATATGATACAACAGTGGTACCTTAAGCTGTACACATGATTTGGTGGTATTCTGTAACTGACGTTTTGCAACAGAATTCGAAATAAATGATGTTTCTAATCTGGTAGCATGATAGTTCCATTTCAGACATCTTGTACTTAATCATAGCGAATTTTTTTAAAAAAATTCACAACAAAGTGTTCTGAAGAAAGTATCTTTCTTTCAAATGCCAAAAATCATTTGGGAAAATATGATTAAACACACCAATGCAAATTATTTGTACAGACGATATTTGCAGTGGCAAGAAACTTTTGTTACAAACCTGAGACAGAAACATTTAAATGCCAGCCATGTTAGAAGCTATACACCAGGTGGCACAGCGACCTGATATTAGCACTGGAGTAGCTGTTAAATTTGCCATATCATGGTGAATTAATCACACACTATGATTTAATGAGTTTTATGCATTTAATGTGTACATCTAAATGATATGCACTGCACACAAGAGTTGCAGTCCAAAGAACTGAATTTGCACTGTATTTGCATGAGGTTTCCTACAGCAGAACACAGTACATCTGGAATTTCCATCATAAGTTCTTTTTGGATGAAAACCCATTTACATATGAAGGCATCTTCAATGCACATAATGTGATGCAATTCCTGCCCACATTTCCAATCAACGAATTTTCAAAGCATAGGTAGTTATGTTTTATCTCAGTGCACTATATCTTTTACTGGAATACCTGGAACGGACAAGTTCCCTAATATTCCTGCAACAGAACTGTTATAGCATGTTCCATCAGTCACTTACCAGAAATATGGTTCCACCATAACAGCACACAAGCCAACATAAAGACAGTTCATGTATGCTTACCAGCATGCCACATTTTTAGGCAAGTAAACTGGCCAAGGAATGAATGACTTGGTTCCCTAACTGCACACCATACTGACAGCTCAGTGGACAGAACTTTTCCCCCATGCTCACCAAAATTATTGCTTTACAATTTTTTTTTTATGGGGACACCTGAAATCCCTCATGTATGAGACCATTCTTCTTTGAAGAAACATGTCCCATATCTGGCTGAAAAACATGCACAATAACTTCCTTGTGAACCCTTTCTTGAAAACCAAGCTTCTTTATAATAATTCCTTTCTTTTTTATGAATTTTTAAAATTTTAAAGAACTTTTGGCTCACCCTGTATTTAACTTTTGAACTTTACACTTACTTTATTATTTCTACCACTAATAATTTCGATTTCTTTTTGAAAATATCTTGCTATTCTGATTTAATGGCTATACTCCTGTTTTTAACTTTTGAAGGTTTGCTTTTGGCTTTAATTAATCTACTTTTTATATCACTGCATGTATGGCAAATGTGGTAATGGTAAAATCAGATCTGCATCACATGTAACACAGTGATCAATCAAAGCTTTTCTATATTAATAACATAATTTAATCCTGTAGAAATCACTGGATGGGGAAACCAGATAAGGTTCAATTTTTGATTTTTTTTTCATTCAAAACAATAATTTAGCTGACATTAAACATTACATTTTGAGCTTCATAAAATGAGAAACATCTCACTGGATCCAGTGATGCTCTTCCATAACAAGATCAAGAAGAGTTCTCTACTTCTACTCTTCTTATCTCCAATTCTGAAATAAAAGTGAGAGGCCACTCAAATTTCCCATGTTTAAAACTTTTTCTGGTCATTCAGTTTCATTGTGAGAGGGACCCTGGGGCTGAGTGAGTAAAAGTTCTCATGGGAAAGAAAACTGTTAATTATAAACATATACTGCAATATTACGATGTTTTACTTCTCTTGAATTATTTTTTTTTTTCTTATGCTTTTTGTTCCATTGATTTTTGGCTGATACAAGAATTGTAAAAAAATTATAGTAGTCTTCATTATTAAATATACATACATATTTTATTTTTAATATATGATTAGGTAGTATTTTACCTTTGCAAAGACAGTAAAAACTTCAGCTATACCTCCATTACTGATCCAGATTTTACTGCCATTTAACGTAAAATATTTTCCATCTGCTGATGGTACAGCACGAGTTTTGATAGACTAGAAAATCAAAGAAATACAATTTAATTAGCAATTAGACAGTAAAGGAGAAATGCAATAAAGTTGAATTTCTATATGTAGAATACATAACCATAAGCTTTATAAAAATTTTCTAGTAATGATGAATTCCAATAAATATGTCCAATATACAGCCACAATCTTTCTCTAAGATTACAAAAATTTTCTAATGCTAAATTTCCATAAATATGACCAATATGAAACAGTATGAAAGCTTTATAAACATTTTCCAGTTGACATACATAAATTTTTAATAGTGTAACTAGTTTTGAAATATAATTTTTATGAAGATTATGAATATGGTTAACATGTAACCATAAGTTCTGGAAATAAATTTCTTGCTTAGAATTAAATCGCACAGAGGGGGGGATGATTTACAAAACAAATGTATACATATTTCCTTTATTATAATTTAACTATGACAAATAAATAATGACCTTAAATAAATGGTAGCTGAAAATAAAAACACCATTTTATGGAAATGCCAAACAGTTTATATAACTAAAAGTTTAATGAATAATTTACAATATTTCTTGAAAATATTACAAGAAATGTATGAATTTCACATTTGGGCAAAATTCATGCAGAAAAACTAAATGTTGCAGATATTTTTACTTTAGATGCACAAAAATGTCAAATAAGACCATATTATGCTATCCATAAAGAAGAATATTTATTACTCTGACTTAAGTAAGAAACAGAACAAAAAATGAAAATGTATTTTTCATCAATCATCTTTTGATGAAGAGATATTTAGTACTCATATGACAGGAAGTTGTTTTAATTTAAATAATTTCAACACTTTTACAGAGGAATACAGAAGAATTTTCTCTAACAGGGCTCGTACACATTTCTGCACATGGAAATTAAGTGCTTTTAAGGACCATTAATGAAAAAAGTTAAGGACCTATGAGCAAATGGGAACTGAACAAATTCAATAAAAAATATTATCTACACCTGAATTTCACTTTTGTAATACCACCCTAAAGATAAAATAGATCTCTAAGTAGTCTGCATTATTACTAAACATGAATTAATTAACATAATTATTAATAAGTTTGAGAATAAAATAAACTTTATGCAATTTATCAAGTAGCATTAAATATTTTACACTTAGAACAGATGGACATATTTGAAAGAAGATAAGTGACATTTACGTTTCACTCACAGCTTTATGTTGATTTTTTTTAAATGTCTCATTTTGTCCCATACTAGGTCAGTCTAGAGTTTGAGTAAATAGCAGGTAGATTTTATGTCAAACGGCATAAGTTAAAATAAGTAGTAAGATCATAATCAGCATGATTCAGAACAAAAGACTGAATGTTGTTATTGCTGCTGCTTGTCTAGAGAGAGAACTGCTCATTACAACAAACCTGAAAGGCCTGATGTAGGTTCACAAGTGCTGAAAGTTAGTCAGGCTCTGTTTGATGCAGTTAGTGTTGTAGCTTCATGTAGAGTTTCAGGGATTGTAACCCTGTTAATATACTTTAAGGTTCTAATATGCCATTAAAGCACCAGAGGTGATAAGTTGTTTTGTATTATTTTAAGTCTCACTAGATGCAAAGAATAAGTTTTACTTGAATTTTTATGTTTTTGTGTTTTATCTTATGACTACACTGAGTATTAATGAAAGGCAATAACTCGCTTTAATACATGGAGATAATTTTTAAGGGTAACCAGTTAGTTATAAATAATTAAATTAGGTAATTAGATAACCTTAGTCATTATGGATTTACATAGCCAACAATTAAATTTTATTTTTTAACAATATTTGTTAAAAAAGCCCCATTAAAATCAAAATTTAATCAAATTTCACAGTTTAAAATGCATGTAATTTATAACATTGATTCTAAAACGATATTAGGATAATTGCATATTAAAAGCTACAAAACATTAATGTTTTGTAACAAAAACACTCGACAAAATATTTATCTGTCATTTTAATTTGAAGCCTTCCCAACCATTTTGCATACTTTATATTGATTTTCTTCTCTTTAAGCATCTTTTCTAACAATCAGAGATTTGTCTCAAAATGCAAACCAATGCTCTTGCTAGTTTCTGCATCAATCTAACTGCTTTATCTCCTAACTCTTAACCTCTCTACTATGTACCTATGAGGGTTTACTTGATCTGGTAAAAGTTAAATTGTCGAAAACCCCCAACTGATGTGAAGCAAACTATTGCCATGTCTGACAATAACTAAAATATCAGACAAAGGTTTAAATAAGCCTCTTATATAAAAAGAACTTAGAATACAAAGGCATGTTCTGATGCTAAAAATCATTTACAGCTCATGGTGACGTAATTAAACAAGAACAGTCAAATTCAAACTAAAAGTGTGGACTAGTGGTCAAAGATTATACAATTTAATTTTAATTTGGCTCAGTAATTCTATCATATGAGGAAACAAAAATGGGAAATTATAGTAAAGTCTGAAATCATAAACAATTAGGTAATTTACATAATAATTACTGCACATTTTCTTTGAAGAATAATTTTCTTTGTCTTTATTCTTTTCTTTCTTCAACACATTTCCTCTTCATTTTAGAATTTTTTGATTTAATTAGAGATTTCCGTTATTCTAAAAAACATGAATTGCATTTAGAATGTATAGAAAATGGCTAATTTTATTTCTTTAGTAATATGAACATTCAGAAGAAATATATATGGTAAAGGCCGGTTACAGAGCTGTTGTGGCAGAATTTTTAGAATTTAGTGACACATCAAACAACAAAATCTAGAAATGGCAAAACTTTTAGAATTTAGAGCAGACATTGGAAGCAGAATTTAGATTCCACAGCGATTGCATCAGGTGGGAAAATGCCTAGTGCCAGCTCTGTGTATGATGCATTAAAACATATTAGATGAATCTTTTAAATTGTAAGTTTTCAATTTCTTTATTAATAAAAAAAATTACTTTCTATAATGCCTGCCCATGTGACAAGATTAGAAGCATTTTTGATATTTTCCACGTTTGTGTCTAGTGAAAAGTAGAGAAAATAAAGGGAAGATAAACATGTTAAGAAAATGATTTTAGTATCAGGAGTAAAACATTCAAATAGTATGTTTTCATTGTTCTTCCAACGTTCTGCCAAAAGTAAGAAATTCATCGCAAACTTTCAGTAAAATACATCCATTACATGTTGATACCATGGAGACATTTTTAATTTTGTCACATATTTTTCAAATCTTCTAGAATCGTGGGTCTATAAATCTTGCCTTCAAATCCTTCTAAACTTTCCAAGCTGCAATGTCTAAAATACTAAAGAAAAATTATCCCTACCAATTCAGTAACAGCAAAAAGCCAGAAATATTTTGGAAAAAAAAGAATGGAAAAAGTGTAAAATTAATTTTATAGAGAAAACTGATACACATTCTGAGAATTTTGAATATTCTGAGACAATTACATGGGAACAACTTTTACTGTGAAAAAATTAAAAAGAAGATATTTTTTAACTAATTACATAGCTAATTTTGCTTTTGTTAAGAGCCATTTCGTAAATTGTGCTTTATAGCATTATACCTTTTTTATTTTTCAGATTCAAAATATTGTATAATAAGTTGGCAAAATGAAATTTTATATGACAGCGAAAATTAAAAATGTTTCATTTTAATGTTATTTTTTAAATATAATTTCAATATATTACCATTATTTTAATGAAATTTATCAATGTTAGGATGTTTTAAAAAATCGTCCAAAAATTATCAGATCTCGGAATTAAAAATTTTCTATAGAAACTGATCTTAAAACTGCCAAATGTTGATAAGTCACCAAATTTAGAACTATTTAATACAAGAATTCACATCTCCAAAAGCGAAAAGTTGTTTAAGAGCTCTTTATTAGAAAAAAAATGAATTTCAAAATGCTTATATCTCACTTCTTGCTTAGAAACTATTATATTAGAAATAGAAACAAATTATAACCCATAAACCCATTCAAAAAGATAATCATATATGCCAGTGAATCGCCGAAAATATTTTTCCAAAATGCTAATTCACACTCAAAATGGCAGTCATAAAACAGACAGAAATTTCACATGATTAAGGACCTTCTACTGTTTTTGGCCAAAATTAAGGACTTTTAAGGACCAAAAATTGATTCCAAAAAATCTAAGTACTTTTAAGGACCGTGCAAACCCTGTCTAATTGATGAAAGAAGTGGAAAATTCTACATGCTTCCCAGGAGTAAACTGAAGGTCCTCCAGGATTAATATCATTACTTCCAAAAGCCACACACCAGGCTGGGTCATGAATATAAGGGATACTTTACATCAGTGGTCCCGAAAGTTTTGTTATATAATTATGAATATTTTACATAATCTTAATTACTTATAAATATAATCTAATTGTTAACAATCATCAAATGCATTTATTATTATTCCATTATACTACTGCCTTTAAAAATTTTCCATTTCCTCTTTCAATTTTTAGAGGATTTATACACAGAGGGGTTGCAGCAGTAAAACATTTTACCACAGTGTTACATCACAGAACACAAATGTGTTGTTTTTCACTGAAAAATGTGGAAAAAGCCATAAAATAGAAAGAAATTAAGTAATTATTAAGAGCCAAAGTATAACATTTGAAATGCAATGATGTGAATAAATGTTTAGGAAATATAACATCTGTTAATATGTTTCCGACTAAAATTAGCACCTTTGCAATTTTTATAGACAAATAAAAGTGCCTATTTATATACTCACCCCAGCATCAGATCCACTGCTTGGCTCAGTTAGACAATAAGCAGCAATATTTTTCCCACATGCTAAATCAGGCAGATACTTTTTTCTTTTGTGATTCATTTCCAAATAACAGAATACCTTTAAACCCAATAGACTGAAATATTAAATTACATGAATTATTAATATCACAAAAAATAAAATATACCTATTTTAAAAACTGCATCTGCACCTTTTTCAAGTAACTTGTTCCAAAAATGAAAACTCTTTCATGTACATGTAAATGATTTATGATATACTATAACAATGTCATGATTTATAATGATGATAATCACTAGACACATACAAGACACAGCAGCTTCAAATGTATAATGCTGAAAGTACTTCACATATAAAGAAAAATACCAGACATATAAGCTGTTTGTTTCAGGACTAGTTAACTTCTTTAGATTTTTGTTTAATATGCAGAATGGCTTGTGAGGGGTTGTCTCTGAACACTTCACAAACCGGTCTTTCATCGCATTTCTGAATGAGATCACTGAGATATTCTTTTCTAAAACTTTTTTTAAAATCCCTAAAAATAACATTGAAATACTTGCCCTTAACCTGTCTGTAATGATTGCAATGGTCTTTGCATCAAACATTATTTCCCACACTTTAGTTCACTAAAACTAATAGTATTTTTTGGAAAGCAGAGATTTTCCACTATTTAATTGTTCTCCCAAAAGATAATTGCATCATAACTAATATATTTTGTAAAACTGAAAGAAAATTGCTAAAAGAGGTTGTCAGATAATGCAACATTTTTACAATTAATCCATATGACAAAAGTGATGGCAGCTTCAGTAACAATGAAAATATAATAGAGCAGTAGCAATAACTTATATCATTTGTCTTTTTTTACATCACAAAGAAGTATTATTGTTCAAATAGTTTTGGGAATCAAACATTTAGATTTTCACATTACTGTATTTTATGGTTGTATATAAGTTCCAGCAGATACTTTTGTAAGCAGAATCAGCTTTCAATTTACAATACACCTGAAATCAGTCAAATGATGTCAATCGCTGTTTAGAACGAGAATTCAATAACAGAATTATGGGTTCACATCTACACGAAGCAGGGTGTTTTATATTGTTCCGAAAGGCAAAAGTCATTACAATTTTCACAAAGACGTTTTTGAAGCACAAAACACATATGCGGACATAACAGTGAAAATGTTCGTTTCAAAACTTGGCACAAAAGGTACACACACAGCCACATCGATCGATCCGATTCTTATACATTCTAGAAGCTGGCATCATTACCCCAGCTTCAGTTCATTTCAGTTCACAACATCCTCCCCCTGTTGAGACTTGGGAGTGTCTCAATTTTATAACAAGTATAATTGAATAAATACAATCTTTTAGGTGCTTTTACACACCTATCAGAAGAAAATCTTTCCATTATTCCATCGTTAGGAGGCAAACTAAACTTCCGAAGGTCACCGAGAACCAAATTCCCCCTCTGCCGTTTTATTATTTTCAGTTAATACTGTTCCAACTGCTTGTAGCTCTAAAGGGAAGAACTACTGCACCAGTTGCAACACACTTCCGTGTTGAGTTTTAAGCCTAACAGTGCAAACTTTCCCATCCCGACCAGGAGTCAGTTCAGTAAACTTTGTAATAGGCCAAAATAAACACCTTTTATTATCATGACCAATTAAAACTATTTCACCAATTTTTGGTTCACAAACCGGTCTTTCATCGCATTTCCGAATGAGATCACAGAGATATTCTTTTCTAAAATTTTTTTTAAAATCCCTAAAAAGTTTTCTTTGGTGTCTTAATTTTTTATTTAATTTTTGGGTATCCAATTCATTAATATCCCTAACACTGGAACAATGGTTTTCAGTAAGAAACATAGTAAGTGTAAGAGGAATTAATTCCAGTGGATTCTCTGATACATATGCTAATGGTCCACAATTAATGATTTATTCACAGTCACAAATTACAATCTTCAGTTCTTTTTGATTCAACACAGATTTACTTAAAGTTTGCTTTAACAATTCTTTTACAATGCGAACCAACCTTTCCCACCAGGCTGCGGTGGGCAGTATAAATTTCCAAATTATGTATTAAACCTTTTTTAGAAATCTTATCCCAATTTAATTTAGAAAGATCATTATGTGTGCCTCTGAAATTAGTTCCATTGTCACATTAAATTATGCTTGGCCTTCCTCGCCTAGTGATAAACTGCCCAAGCACCAACAGAAAAGCATCTGAAGATAAAGAATTTACCAATACCAAATGAATGGCTCAAAACACAGCACAATCCACACTTTTCCCCAGTTTTCAAAAACAACGGCCCCGCTAAATCAATCCCTATAACTTTGAAAGCTACAGAATCTGAAACTCAGTCTGGTGGCAAAGATGTAGGTTCACTTGACATAGCTTCAACCTTAAAATGTTTACATCTCAGGCAATTGTGTAAGACATTCTTAACAGTTTTCCTAGCTTTAATTATCCAATAACTTTCTCATAATTAGGTTTGCATTATTTGTATGCCAGTATGAAAATTTTTCAGATATACAATTTTGATCAATAATTGAGTAAATTGACATTTGTCTCACAATAATATTGGATATCAAAAGGATTCTTCATCATCTCGCATTATCTTAGTCCTTATTCTTAAAATACTGTCCTTATCTTTAAACATGATAAATTTCAAAGAGTTCACATCAGGTAAATAGTAGCTCTGAACTAAACGAATGAAACACTTTTGAGAATTCTCCATTTCAGAAGAGGAAGGCTCAGGGTTATTTCACTTAATATGACTCTGCCAACAATTATATTCACAGATCTTAAAACCCAAGCAAACATTCAAATCAATTTATCATAACTTCATATATTGTTTCGATGACCAAGGGGTGCATCTTTTGCCAAATCAATAGTCATCATTTTAATCTTTCTCTTTTTATATCTACTTCTTTAAACTGGCTATCAATTTTGCCATCTAGCCAACACTGAAGACTTTCTTTTAGCCACAAAGGACCTTTCCCACTACTCAGAAGCAATCAAACCCCAAGCAGAACTGCCCGCAGCAGTAAGACAGCAATATTCATACTTCCCAGAACATGTTTCCATGCCTGAGGTTTTGTCAACTGACAAATTTCTTTAACTTAGTTGACTATGAAAACTGACCGGTTTCACAGTTCCTTTATCCACCAAATGGCTGTAGCAGAATCAGATCAAAGAATTATTTTAAGATTCAGTAGCTCAAGTGCTTTCATATTAGATTTTGCAAGCCTAGCACCTATACTACAAGGCACCAATTCCAATTGTGGCATACTCAAAGGTTTGAGATGAGCTACTCTAGACTTTGCTCAAACAAGATATACCTTCACCTCAGAATGAACTATTGATCGAGCAAAGATGCATGCAGCATATGCCCCTTGGCTAGCATTCACAAAAACATGCAATTCAGAGGGTGAATTAATTGTCAAATAATGAGGCAAAGTTGCATTTTTCAATTCAGGTACATCTTTGTACCATTTTGAGAATTTGTTTACAATATCTGGCAGTAGTTCACAATCCCACGTTATTTTTGACTTCCAGAAATTTTACAATAGTAGCTTCGGAAGCAATGTTGTGGAAGACAACAAGCCATGAGGATCAGAAATATTTTGTACTATTGACAAAATTAATCTCTTGGTTATTTTCATTTCGCACACCAATAGCTCTAAATTAATACAACACCTTAAAGTGTCATTATTTTTGTTATATATATCATAAACTGAATTATAACTTCATCACAGGGATAACAGCGTTTATTAGGAGAATGGAAAAGGTAAGCATTCACAATACAGAAGCGATCAACATTACTGCGACTCTATAACTGAAGTTCAGAGCTTAAAGCTGGCAGATTGCCCAAAACATAGATTACGTCATTTAACGCTCTGAAAGGCGAACACAAGCTAATAAAGAAAAGGAAATCACATTGATCATTGCAGCTTCTGACATTCGGAGGTATAAAATATACAACAATTTTTAAGTCCAGATTATCCCTAAAACAGAAGTTTCTCCAGAATGCTTGTCAACATTTTTACAGGCAACATTGCTTTCAAAGCCGCACAAATTAAAACAGTTTTTAGAGACATGTTTAACTTTGCCTGTTCTATAAAGTGAACTTGTTCATTAATATTAAAAACTCAAGTTACATAATTATCAACATAAAATGAGTTCTCCAACTTTTTAGCAGTTCATCATATGGTGGAGGGCAGTTCTCTAGGAGATGTATTATAGATGCATTCAATAAATAAGGGCTAGAACAAACTTGTCTACAAATTTCTTGCCCTTCATTACACGGACAGAAAAATCTAAGAAAATCTCTGTCTTTGGATGGAAGGGATAACATTAAAAAAGGCCTTTTTAATATTTGCATTTACACCGTTTGGATACATTCTAAAACAGTCAAGAACATCGGGTATAATTTTTATTAAATTAACTAACTTCTTTAAATAAACAATTGTTTAAAGAAAGTATCCCTCTCTGAGAGTTGGAAGCGGCAAACACCGGACCAATTTTTGAAGTTTTACTATCTAATTTAATCACCAGACTGTGAGGCAAATAGTGACATTATTTACTCAATTTCCAGTACAGGTTCAATTATACTCCTTTTTTCCCATTCCTGGAACATCTTTTGATAGTCATTTAAAAGTTTACCACATTTTAATTTGTTAATCACTTTTTCATGCCACTTCCAGGTCAGTTCTTTATCAGATAAATACGTAATATCGCATTTCCATGATAATTCCGATTCGTATCTCCCATCAGGAAGAATTTTCATTTTGTCTTCAAAATCAGTTAAGCTATCTTTCTTCTTATTAGATTCGGATGAATCAGCCATTCCTAAAATTTTGAGTTCCTACACTGCACTCAAAGGAATATTCCCAACATGCATAGACAAAGTAGTTAAAATGCTACCCCTTGTGCATGAATTTTGCTTTCCAATTACTGTCTACCCAAGTTTAGTTTTCAAGGCTGTACGACCTGAATCCAGCCACTAAGTTCTCAGTCAACAATTTTTCCAAAACATCAACTCCAATCAAAAGGTCAATCTCGCTTTCCTTATAAAAAGAATCTGTTAAATCCATTTTATTTCATTTCAAGTCCTCTAAAATTCTACAGTCATTAATTTTTGGAATAAATCTGCGCATCCTCTTCTCTGAAAGAACTTCAAAATTGCAAATATATGACTTTTTTAAATCACTAATTTCAATAGAAAATAGCTTGTGTTCCTTCAGTTTTGTTTCATCCCCTCCAAACAGTGCATGTACCACAGTTTCTTTACGAAGTGCAGGAATGTTCAGTAATGTCATAATTCTTTTGTTTACATAACTAATTTGGCTAGCTGAATCACAAAGAGTGCTAACTTTCCACTCTTGGGCTCAAGCCAAAATGACTACAAAAAGCGTTTGCCAAGTAAACGGTTTTGCTTCTTTGGCAATTAGAGAAAGAATTTTCTATTTTACATATATTCCTTTTTCCTTGTTCAGGACACATAACATCAAAATAGGAATTATTACACTGAACACATTTCAACTGATTTTTAACATTACAAAATTTGCTTAAATGACCTGCCCTTTTAAGACATAAAAAACATGCACCTTTCTTCAACAATACTTGCTTAAAGTCTTGCTTTAAGACATTTTTTGCTGGGGTGAAACTTATCACAAAAAAATACAATTAAGGTGCTTACCTGTATTATTATCAAGGCTTATTAAGGCAGAGGCCGTCATGAGTTCACTTTCTTCTGGTTTTCCAGGAACAGAACTCTTACTTTTGGAATTAGTGTGAGAAAACCCACTTCTTGGTAATGACACCATTTCTTCACCTTGAACTTCTTGGCAGAAAAAATTCATCAGCTGTTTTAAAGTACAGGAACTCTTGGAATTACTTGCCTCGTAATTTCTCCTTTCCCAGGTAAGCAACATTTCCTCTGGAAGGCAATTTCCACTAATGGAATTAGAAAAACCACTGTACTTTTCTTGCATTCTTCCTAAGCTTTCCAAAGCTGTCAGTTTAGCTTCCAGTTCGTCATTATAAAGCTGCTAAATCAGCCTTGGTTCTAGTCATGGCATTCTTCATAACCATGCTTAGTAAGTGACCAACATAAAATTTAGACAAGTAAATCATCTCTTCCAAAATCTTACTTTTAACAGCTCAATAACCTTTGGATAATTCTCCGCTGTAGCCAGAAAACTCTGAATGCAACATTCAGCTTTCGATTTTGGCTCCACAGACAGTACCAGATATTGCATCTTATCTTTATCAGCCAGATATTGCATCTTATCTTCAGGTAGAGACCTATCCTCATGAATTTTCTGAAATAAGCTCCAGAAAGACAAGTATTCTTTTGGCTCATCTGAAAATTCTTTAATCTCAATTTTTGGCAATTTAAAATTTCACCTTTTCATTTTTAGCTGCAGAAGCTTTTGGAGTTTTTTTTTCACTTTAGCACAAATTTCTACATGCCTGTCCCTGTATGTTTCTGCTTCTCCAAAATCACTGGGGCACAATTTCATACCATCTCAGTCTTCAGCAAATTTTGAGCAATAAAAGATTGACAACTTTCAGGTCTCTGGAACTTATCAGTAATTTGAAGCCATAAAACAGAAATTTCACTTACTTCAACAGCTTCTTTAACCAATTCATTTTCAATTTTCTTTAAGCAGAGAGTAAAAGATGTTTCCAGATCCTTTCTTTGCGTTTTTAACGCATTCAAATCCATTTTCAAGGAATAATTCAAACTACAAAATTCTAAATTCAAAATACCTGCCCACATGGGGATACCCACCTTTTTATGTTGAGAACGAGAATTCAATAACGGAATCATGGGTTTGCATCTACATGAAGCAGGGTGTTTTGTATTGTCCCGAAAGGCAAAAGTCATTATAATTTTCATGAAGACTCTTTATTAAAGCACAAAACACATACGAGGACATAACAACGAAAATGTTCGTTTCAAAACTTGGCACAAAAGGCACACACACACATAGCCACATCCGTCGATGTGATTCTTATGCATTCTAGAAGCTGACATCACTACCCAGCTTCAGTTCACTTTAGTTCGCAACCATCGCTGTCACAGGACATGTCAAAATAAGTGAGTTCATGAAGTTTATAGGGAAAATTATATTACATGCAAAAATACAATGTGGAAATTCATGTTAATCTATTCTGAAAAATTTAAAGCAAAGATAGCTTTACCAGTGTTTAGGTATATGCCATGAGTAAGTCAGAAAGAGACTTAAATGTCTGGAAAACTATCACATAGTAATATCAATGGATTAATGTAGTATATAATGCAACTATTTTACACAGTGCTCTTTCAATAAGTATCCACTGAGAATAAAAATAAAACTGGCTAGCTACATTTTTTTATTTCACATAATAAAATATTTTCATTTTGTGCCACTATACATGTATAAAATGATTCATCAATGAAGAAAATTATTACCTGATGTGCACCTAAAACAATGCCAACTCCAAGATCATAACGCCCAACTTCTTCCACCATTCTTGCATACTGTGTATTGTTTAAACCTAGCCCCCCATATTCAACAGGAACTTGAAGTCCAAAAGCTCCTAGTTCACTAAGTTGCTTCATAACATGATCTTCTGCTTTAGCCAACTCATCATTTTTATCTGCATCATTAACTTCCTAGTAAAATATTTTTCTCTTTAAATTAGCAAATATACATTTAAAAATATTGACAGCAATATTACAAAGTTTCAATTTAAACACACATACAGTGACAAAGAGATAGTAATCCACATAATACAACAATTTAATTTACAATAATGCAGATTTACACTGGTTTACAAATTAGCAAAAATGTATTTAAAAAATGAAAACATAAAAATTTAAACAAGATATGCTGCAAACTCTATATGCTGTCAATTTTAACAGACGAATTACAGAATGTCAGCTTATTTTGATAATAAAATACTTTAAAAACTTTTTACTAGTAATTAAGACACTAATAAAATGTATAAGCACACAGTAGATATAACTGATTATAAAACATACAGTGGCTACAGTAAGGGATATGCATTCATTATGGAGAATTTATATTCGAAATCACAAGCACACAAAAAGAAAACAAATATGGAGATTCCAAATGTGATTAAACATTTTTACTTAGTGAGTACTGAAACAGTTCACCTCGTTTACTAGGAGGGTCAATGCATGCATGGATATGCGATCATATTATATTCTGCCTGCTCACCCCAAAAAGTTGCATATTTGTTAAGATTTTTCAGACTATATTTCCAAACTGAAATATACATTTTAAAAATTTGCTTATGTTTTTGGTGCAATAATTCTGCAATTATTTGCCATGGCTGTAGGGGCTGGACTGATAAAGATGCATATTACTCTCTTTCTGATGTTATTTTAAGTTTTAATGCTTAATTCATGTCCATTGGTTCAGAAACAGGCTATTTATTTATTTATTTTGTTGCACCAATCCCCTGATGCCAATGCAGTAAAAGATGTAAATTTCTTATTTCATTTTTGGCATGTTTACTGCCAGTTTTCTTAGTTTACCACTGTACTTTTGGTATTTGCATATGTTTATCCCAAATCAAATATGGGATGAATTTTAAATGTATTATTTCTTTACTTTATTTTGTGTGTGTGTGTATATATATATATATATATAGGGTATTTCAACAAGGAGAGATAGATTACATTTAGACAATGGAAAATCACATAATGATGCATGGTCGGAAACACTTTCTTGGCGAAGTAGTGATGACACAAAACACACACACACACAAAAAAGGGGGACGGGCACAAACAGTATGACAAAACATGTTTAGTATGACATAAACTGACAAATAAGAACAAAAATACACAATAGTCGCCATTAAAGATGTTTGAAATAATGACCCAGGGCCATGATAAGCATGGAAGATGCATGACGCACAGCTCCTGGACCATGGTCTGGGTCGTAATTTCAAACACCTTCTTTGATGACAACTACTTGTTTTTGTTCTATTTCTGTTTCCCTTGCACTAAGCAGAATAAACATTATTCTCACCCTGTTCATGTGCTTCCTTTCTTGCATTACGTGTCATCACTACTACACCAGGAAAGTGTTTCCGACCAAGCACTGCTATGTGCTTTACCATCGCCTAGATATACTCTATCTCTCCTAAAAGTTTGTAACTAATTTGCTGAAACACCCTGTATAACACAATCTCTCTAGCACTAACAGAGGCAGCAAAATTTTTAAATAATCATTCTAAGTGAATTTTGATCTGCATCAAAGAACTTGTGGTCATAATTTATAAACAAAGCTAATTTTGAAAATATATTAGAATAAAAGTTATTGCTTATGTAAAACAATATACGAATAAAACTCTACAATATAAAATTGTATCATTAAAAGTAATAACATCCACAAACAAAACTTAAACACAGTTTTTCATAAAACTATAAAGTTATAAAAAGAGTATTGCCTCAAAAAATTTTTTAGGAGGTTCAACCATCATCTTCAAAGTTTCTTTATCTTCAGAGTCTAAAACTAAAAAAAGAAAAGAATGTATCATCATTTCAGTGTTTAAGAAAAGAAAATTGAAACCACTATTATTTATTCTTTGAAATAAACATAAATACAATATCTATAAAAAGAATTTGTTATTTTCACATCCAGTATTGTGCAAGCTTCATAATTTTTTTTTTATAAAAGTACAAAATCACAAATGCTAACTACTGTTAAAATTCCATATGCATGTGGGCAGTTAGACTTTTCACATGGTTAAAGCAAGATCACAGGGCAGACCATCAGGAATGTTCACATAGCCAAGCCAGCTATCTTGGCAACTCAGAGATGAATCAATGCATCTAGTGGAATGTCATGAGCTCAGCACATGCAAATCCATTCCATAATGCTGTGAGCATAAAAGAGGAGACTGCCCTGAACAACAGAGATTTTTTTGCATCCCGAGAAAGCTGTCCTCTCGTGGAAAGTAGTTCCTGGGAGCTCAGTGTAAAAGCAAAAATTTGATAGTACGATAATGTTCTTGTCCTGATATAATTGTCTGCAATTACAATACTAGACTGTTACTTATGATCCATCATATGAGCATTTCCTATTAAGTATTTAATGAACATGGAAATTGGTTCTTTCTGATTATTCCTTCTTCCCTGAAAAGAATTCATGAAGCAATGAATGCCGCTGAAACAGACAACCCACGGCATTGTCAAAATGCATTTAAGTGGCAGCCCAGGTATGTGCATGCACATTGCAGATGAGTACAGATTTCCACCTTCAAATTCCACAACTATTTTTCTTATTATTGTTTGTTTTTGCACTGAGTACCTTTTTTTTTTCCTGTGGAAGAAAACGTAATGAGACTGTGCAGATTGCCAGATGATGAAAAAGAAAGTGTTGGATTGCTTCATAAATATGGAAATTTGCCTAAAGCAGAGAATGCAAAAATTCATATTCCATGAAATTGTATTTCTCAAACGATTCAACGTTTTGGTCCAAAATTTGGGCACGATGCCAAGTTTGTACAATTTTCTCACTTTTTAAGGGAAAACAGATCTTTAGGTACATGTGGAGAACAACAGCACCAAAAAAGTCACATAAGAATTCCTTTAAAAAGGCAAATGTTCTAATATTGATATTCCTTGCTTTTTCAATTTTATTCATTCATAGCAGTTTCACTGAATTCTTAGTGTGCCATTTTTTTTTTCAAAATGACTCGCTTTTCACATTACAGCTTGGCGAAAAATTAGTTGGCAACAAACTGGTGACTTTTTGGAAAGTGGTGCAGATAGTCAGAAAGTTCCTGGTCCATGAGATGCAAAATGGATGTAATAAGACTATATTATCTGAATGCAGATGATAAATTTCCAGATATAATTTTTGTTCTTGCCACTTACAACGATGGAAACTCTGAAGCCTTATGAAAATACAAATAATTATATTTGTATTTTCATAAAGCTTCTTTATTTAAAGAAATTAAATTTATTATAAACAGCGAAAAAGAATTACTTTGTATAAAATCTAAGAGAATTTAAAATTTCAGGCATGAAAATTTAGGCTTTAAATTGTGAAGGAATTTAAAACTTTCCGTGAGGAAAGCAACCTGGAACAATCCTTGCTCCTAAGCACTTTCAGTGACCCATTTACAAAACTATATACTAGGGCAAATCCTCTTGTAAAGCCTATCATTTTTAACAAAGTAGCAGATATTCATGTGAGGTATTTTATGATATTTATTAATTCAATATTTTTCAGTTATTTGAATAAAAATCATATTTTACTTTTCTGCATATCCATTTTCATGATTTAAGTTTATTTTAAAAACATAAAATAAAAGTTTATTCACTTTGAACTGGAGTACATTTTTTAAAAGGAAAAACTAATAATTTTTATACTGATTTTATTGCATGTATATGGTAATATTAATTCAACTGTTTAATAACCATGTACATGAATACAATATATTCATATTCATGATCTAAAATCCTGACCTCCAAATCACCAGCAACATTTTTTTATACTTACATTTGCATATGCTTTACGTTGATAGAAATTTTTTTATGCTTTACGTTTGTACATTCGACATTTTATCATAATGCACAAAAAGAGTTCCGATTCTTAATTACACTTCGGCCAGCCTGGGAAATAATAAATCATGATTTATTATTTTTTTGCTTTCTTCACCACTTGACTATCAACACATTGCAGCTTGAGAAGTGATTGAATTTAATACAGTTGTTGAATGTTATTAAATGTTCAGACATTTTTCAATTTTAAATTTTAAACATCAATAACAAAATACCACACAGCTTGATAACCTTTCATGTTGACATTACACTTGCTGATTATTACAGGCTTTAGGAAACCCTGCTTGATGTGTAGTGTGTACTGACAAAGAGCAATTTCAACAAAAATTTCTTTCCATGTGCCCCGGAGAAAAAAAAAAAAAGGTTACATTTAGTGCTGTTTAACTTGAGAATATCTTATGCCTTATTCAGTTAAGCTGAGGACCATACCACAGCCGTTATGGTCGCACTGGGTGGCAGAATTTAGGGAAGGTAAAATTTTTAGAATATAGCGAAGCACCAAACAACACAGTTAGAAGATGGCAAAATCTTTAGAATTTAAGGAGGCACTTGCCAGTGAAATTATGGACCCACTGAGCGTGTGGGCGGCACAATGTCCGGGCCCAGATCTGGATAAGCCTCAAGTACATGTGGGAATTTATTTATTCAGGACTCTGGTAAGCCTTAAACATGACTATGTGTGAGAAATGGTCATGAGTTCAATAAATAACCAATACAGGGTTCGTACACATTTCTGCACATGGAAATTAAGTACTTTTAAGGACCATTAAGGACCTATAAGCAAATGGGAACTGAATAAATTAAAACTAAACATATTATATCTATGCCTGAACTTCACTTTTCAATACCATCCTAAAAATAAAAGAGATCCGTAAGTAGGATGCATTATTATTATAACATAATTATTAATATATTTGAGAATAAAATAAATATTATGAAATTTATCAAGTAGCATTAAATGTTTTACACTTATAATAACTGGACATATTTGAAAGAAGATAAGTGGTATTTTAGTTACGTTTTACTAACAGTTAGCTTTTTTATTTTTAATGTCTCATTTTGTCATATACTTGCTCAGTCTAGAGGTTTAGTAAATAGTAAGTAGATTTTATGTCAAGCAGCATAGGTTAAAATGAGCATTAAAATCATAATCAGCATGATTCATAACAAAAGACTGGCTGTTGTCACCGCTCCTGCTTGCCTAGAGAGAGACCTGCTGATCAGAACAAACCTGAAAGGCCTGATGCAGGCACAGTTAAAGTAAGTTTTGAAAGTTAGCTGAGCAGTCTGATGTAGTTAGTGTTGTAGCTTCGTGTAAAGTTCTAGGAGTTGTAACTCCATTAATATACTTTAAGGTTCTAAGCCACTAAAGCACTAGAGGTGATAAGTTGTTTTGCATTATTTTAAATTTCTCTAGATGTGAAGAATAAGTTTTACATGAATTTTTATATTTTTGTGTTTTACCATGTGACCACTGTAAAGGTTAATGAAAGCGAATAACTCGCTTTTATATGCAAAGATAATTTTTAAGGGTGAGCACTTAGTTATAAGTAATTAAATTAGGTATTAGATAACCTTAGTCATATGGATTTACATGGACACTATCAAATTAAACTTATTTTTTAATAATATTTGTTAAAAAAACCCTATTAATATCACAATCTAATAAAATTTCACAGTTTAAAATACATGCAATTTATGACATTGATTTTTAAACAATATTACGATAATTACACATTAAACATTTATGGTTTTATAGCAACAAAACAAAATAATTATGCGTCTTTTTAATTTGAAGGCCTGCCCAGACATTTTGGCTAATTTATATCGATTTCCTCCTTAAGCATCTTTTCCAATAATTAGAAATTTGTCTCAATACGCAAAACAATGTTCTCATTAGTTTCCGCCTGTTTTATCGCCTAACTGTCAACCCCTCCTCAACGAGTAAACCTCAACCTATGAGGGTTTACTTGATCTGGTAAAAGTTAAATAGTCCACCCCCCGACAGATGTGAAACAAATCATGGCTATGTCTGAAAGTAACTATAAATCAAAGGTTTAAATAAGCTTCTTATTTAAAAAGAACTTTAAAACATAAAGGCTGTTCATACGCTAACAAAGAACATTACAAGCTCATGTGTATTATGTAATTAACAAAAGAGTCAATTGCAGCTCGTGGTGATGTAAATTATGGAACTAAGCCGTCAAAGACAAGTGGTCAATTTAATTTCAAATTTAATCTGGTTCTAATAACTCTATCATCATAATAAAAACTCAAATATCAGCAGTGGTAATGGAAATTATCAGAGCTGAATAGGAACTAATACATAGGGAGCAAGTGGAGGTCGAAACCTCACTCTTGTTACACTCCAAAAACTGTTTAAAAACTGTCTCAGTGATTTGCAGTCTGGTGAGGAAATGGAAATGGGAAATTATAGTAAAAGCTGAAATTGTTATTAACGACTGGGCAATTTTACATAATAATAACATAATAATCTCTGGCGAATAATTTTTCTCTTTACATATTTAATTTGTTTCTTCAATATGTTTCCTTTTCACTTTAGAATTTTTGGATTTAATTAAAGATTTCTGTTATTCTAAAAGACAAAATGCACTTAGAATGTATGGAAAAAGCTGCTAATTCTATTTTGGTAATACGAATATTCAGAAGAAATATGAAATACATATGATAAAGTCTAATCACAGAGCTGGTGTGGTATAATTTTTAGAATTTAATGACACAGTGAGCAACAAAATCTAGAAATGGCAAAACTTTTAGAATTTAGAGCAGGAATTGGAAGCAAAATTTAGAAAGGCACCAGGCAGCAGAATTTAGCATCCACAGAGACTGCAACATGTAGCAAAATGCCTAGCGCCAGTCCTGTGTATGATGCATTAAGACATATTAGATGAATCTTTTGAATTGTCAGTTTTTAATTTCTTTATTAATAAAAAAATGCCTTTCTATACTGAATGTCCATATGATAAGATTAGAAGCATTTTTGATATTTTCCATGCTTGTGTCTAGTGAAAAGTAGAGAAAGAGAAAACTGATGCATATTCTGAGAATTCTGAACATTCTGAGAAATGGGAAAAACTCTTACCATGAAAAAATTAAAAAGACGTTTTTATTTAATTACATAGCTATTTTGCTTTGCTAAAACTGTTTCGTAATTGTGCTTTATAGCTTAAACTTGCTTATTTTTCAGATTCAAAATATATAATATAGGCCAAAATGGAACTTTACGATATGACAGTGAAAATAAAAATGCTTTATTTTAATGTTATTTCTTAAATATTATTCCAATACATTACCATTATTTTAATGAAATTTATCAGTATTAGAATGTTCTAAAAAAGTCGCCAAAAATTTCCCAGATTTCGGAATTAAAAATTTTCCATAGAAACCGATCTTAAAATCATCTAAATGTTGATACGTCACCAAATTTAGAACCATTTAATAAAATAATTCACATCTTCAAAAGCAAAAAGTTGTTCAAGAGCTCTTTATTAGAAAAAAAATGAATTTAAAAATGCTTAATCTCACTTCTTGCTTAGAAATTTGAATATCTCATCAATTATATTAGAAATAGAAACAAATTATAACCCATAAACCCATTCAAAAGATAACCATATATGCCAGTGAATCGGCGAAAATATTCCTCCAAAATGCTAATTCACACTCAAAATGGCAATTGTAAAAAGAGACAGAAATTTCAGATTATTAAAATTAAGGACCTTCTGCCGATTTTGGGCGAAATTAAGGACTTTAAGGACCAAAAATAAATTCAAAAAAACTGAAGGACTTTTAGGCACTTTTAAGGACTGTACAAACCATGCAATATAATACATGCTTAACTTTGCCAAGGTGCGACAGAAGAAGAAAAAATTCAGCAGAATAACATGTGTTCCATGGCCAATCAATCAAAAAGAAAAGAGAACTTAATTTAAAATAAGTATTATTAAAGCAAAAAAAAAAAAAAATCAAGAGGACAGAGTGTATAGGGTAGAACATATCAATATTTATTTTACACAAACTGCGAATGATGAATAACAGAAAATTCATTGTTAATTTGTTAAACTGGTATGAAAATGAAACTTTTAACACATTACAGAAATACGTCAAATATGCATAAGTATACGACTACAAAATTATTAACTAAAAAAACTATTAACCATAATGAGCTTACCATCAGGATAAGGAAAAACCTGTTCAGTTTTCAGCTGACCTTTGAACATGGTCATCACAAAGGAACTTGTGTTCTTTAGAAGAAAAGCACATAAAATCAGAATGCTTATTAAAAAGAAAACAAAATTCTATAACATTATTAAATATACCCAAATTGTATTATCAACAGATATAAACATAGAAAAATTATTTTGATAATTTATACCCTAAAAATGAATCTCTGCAAAATGGGGGGAAAACCATCCCCCTTTTTAGCATAAAATTCAACATAATAAAAATTCTGAAAATGCATTTATTAACTAAATACACAAGAAATGAAAAATTAGTATACTCAACTTCTTGGCCATCTAATAGGCAGATTGAACAACATTTTAAATATAATTCAATACACACTCAGAATATTATCTCAAAGGAACTTCTATGGCAGACACCGTAACATTATTTATAGTAATTCTGTAAGGAGAAACATTACATTGGATATTATTAGAACTATCTAAGATTAATTCTACAGTTTTTTGGTTACAGAAACACCTCTCAGTTATGAAACAAGAACATCAGCTTCTTAACGGGGGGTGGGGGTTCAAGACATGTCTCTGCCTGGCATTCCGAAAACACAAGCAACATTTCTGAGTAGGCATTAATAAGAAAGCCTGACACACAAAGATGTCCGTGCTTTTAAAGCCATTTAGTGAGATTGCAATGCATACATAAAAAATAATAAGTTAGAGAATCACCAGCTTAAATTTTGTTTTGAAATGATAACATAAATAATGGAAACAAAAGTTTTCAAATTAATTAGTACAAAGAAGTTTATTACCATTTTTGGAGTACCTTCAGTGGGAACCTTAGTAAAATGTTTGCACTTTATGATTCACAAAACCACATATTTTCAATAAAAACAGAGCCTGTGTTTCCAAAAATATTACCTGTTTGGTCTTTATGTCTACTAAAATGTTTCTCAATAATTTGTGAGAAAATAAACTGTGTGTTGCAACTCGAACACGAAATGAGCAAAAGTTTCTCTTCAGCCAGTGGCAATGGAGAGTCGAAAAACGAACTTAGAAGACAGCGGTCGCTCACTCGGTTTTCTCTCGATAGAATTTGATACGAAGGGGGGATAATCCCCATCTTTTGATTTGAAATTAATCTCGAATTATGTATGTATGTATATAAAGATGTTGTAAATAAAGTCATTAAGACTTAATTGAAGTAGTGATTTGAATCGATATAGAAATCGAAAGCTCTCCCAATAGAACTATGGATTATAGAAATGACATTTTTAGTGGTGCCTTCACAAGGGACTTTTGGGATTAGAATTTCGAAGATAGCAGACAATTACCTGTAAACAGGTAAACAATTCCTTTTTCTTGAAAATTTTGAAAAAACTGAGTTTCAATATTGTGATTAGTCAATTTTAAACATGGAAGCTTTTAGACAACTGAAGCAGAAACGTACGAATGAACGCAGTAGCGTTACGAAATTAATTACAAAAATAGAAGCTTTATATCAGAAAATATCAAAACACAACATTGAGGAATTGCCGGAGATGAATAAACAAATATCGAAGAGAAAACACGTTGAAAATGTTGAATTCACAAGTCGAAACTCAGTTAAAAGATGCTAAAGAATTTGAAAAAGATATTACTGCAAGTGATAAATACATGAACAAAATTATGTCTGCACGTTTAGAATTAAAATAAAATTAAATAATTGTAATGAACATTTGTCTGTGAAAATACATCAGATGCAAATTCTTGGAACACTTCTGTTTCTGAAATAAATGTTCGTCATCGCTATGAAATTGCCAAAGTTAATATTCCAAAATTTCAGAAGATGCAGGAAAATGGTTAGAATTTTTTAGCTGTGATGATCAGAACAAGCATTAAGCAAGATTGAAAAATTCGTATAATGAAATCATTATTGATAGGGCAAGCATATAATGTGTTGAAGGTTTCATTACGAATACAATTACGATTGTGCTTAGAACTTTTAAAAGACGCTTTGGAAAAACCAGAGAAAATTAAAAAAAAATGGCTAAATAATCTTTTGGACATAGAACCAGTTAAAAATTCTTCTAACTTAAATGCACTAAAGATTACACAACACTTGTGAAATAAACATTTGAAGCTTAAGTAATTTAGGAGTAACTTCAGGTTCATGAACACTTTTAAATCCGATAATATTGAATTATTGCCTCATGATTTGATTCTCGAATATCACCGAAAGCGTGATCCAAAAGAGGAATCTGATGTTACAGTTTAATTGCTTTTTTGAAAAACGAAATTGAATGCCGCGAACAACCATACGCAGTTCATAAACCGGAACCGAACTATTCCATTGAACGGAAAGAATAAACACTTCGACAACACAAAAGAAATTATAAATACACAAACATAAGTTAAACTCTAAAGTAACCCCTCGTTGCGGCAGAATTATTAGCTCCTGTAAGAAGAAAACTGTATTTTGCAAAAATAACACACATATAGTGAAAAGTGTAATATGAGTGTAAATGAAAAACGAAATGTATTGCGATTAAAGGTCATGTTATGTTTGTCTGGCTCAAGGTCATCGATTTTCTGATCTCTTGTGTATACTGCCACAAAAAACATAATGCAACCCTTGTTACAAAAATGAGAAAAAACCCGAAGCATCGCAATCAAATGTGTAGAAAATTCAGCGTGCAATCACATTAGCATCGATGGAATAAAATATTTTTACAGAGACGACAGTAGAACTTAAAAGTAGGTCACGCAATAATTATTTTTTGTTTATTTGACAGTGCTAGTCAACGCTCGTATATTCAGAAACGTCTGTCTAAACAACTAGGATTAAAAGTCGAGGGAAGGGAAGAAACAATGATTCATACTTTCGGATCTCAAGTGCCTACCAAACAGAACTGTGCGTGAGTAGAAGTAAAAATAAAAAACATTTTTGATAACGAGGAATTAATTATTCAGGTTTTACAGACTGATGAAATATCAAATGCTGAGCTAGACTATCCTCCGGAAAATATCCGGGAGTTGTTGAAAGATAGGGGAATAATTTTAGCGGATGTTGATCACGAATCTTTAGATAACAACAACGTATCTTTACTCATTGGAGCTGATAATTATTGGAAATTAGTAAAAGACAAAATTGAACGTTTGAACTCAACATTAGTTACAATGGAAACCAAAATGGGTTGGATTTTAATGGAAAAACTATTTGATTGTATTGAAGATGGGGAAAATATAACTAATGCCGTCGCAGTGACTTCTTTATTAATTCACACATCGAAGATTGAAAATTTGTGGAAATTAGATTTATTGGGATTCAAGACCCTGTTGAAACAAAATGTAGAAAGGAAATGGAAATTGCCGCATTGAATCATTTAACGAAACTGTTACCTTTAAAGAGGGAAAGAATGCGGTTTCAGTTGCCTTGGGTAACAGAAAAGGACTGTTTAAGTCAAAATTTGGATATTGCCAAACAGCGTTTAAACAGTACGACACACTGGTTGATACAGAAGGGCAAATTCGAGGATTACGAAAATGTTTTCACAGATTGGTTAAATGAAGGAATTGTAGAGGAAGTTCCTGAACACGAAATGAATAATCTGTGTCACTATTTACCACATAAAGGGGTATTCAAAGAAACTTTGACCACGAAATTGCGACCGGTATTTGATGCTTCCTGTAAAGACAAAAATTCGCGCTCACTCAATGATTGCCTAGAAAAGGATCCAAATTAGTTGGAACAAATCATTCCTATAATTTTAAGATTTCGAAAAAATAGGAGTTATTTCAGACATAAGAAAGGTTTTTTTGCAAATGTCAGTGAATAAGAGTGATCGAGATTTCTTACGATTATTATGGTGGAAAGACTTTGGACAAGGAGAAACTTAGAGTTTTTGGATATAAACGCGTTGTTTTTCGGATTGAATTGCAGCCCTTTTTTATTGGCTGCTGTATTAAGCTATCACATTGATCTAAATTCGTCTAAATATCCTGAAACAGCGGAAAATTTAAAAGAATCATTATATGTAGATAATTGCATCACATCTGTTCCTGATGAAGAAACACTTACGCGATTCATCGAGGAATCGAAACAGAATATTAGATTCTGCGTCATTCGATTTGAGAGGGTGGGAGCACACTTCTCTTTTGAAATCTGAGGACAGTATAGAACCTACTCCTGTATTGGGAATTTTATGGGAATAAGGAAGATGATAGCCTTTTCTGTGAGGTGGAAGACTGCTACTGACAAACCAGTGAATCTTACTAGAAGAAATATATTGTCTGCAGGTACATCGCATTTTCGACCCCATGGGTTTTCTCTGCCCTATAACGCTAGCACCTAAACTACTCATACAACAGATCTGATTGTTAAACATTGGTTGGGATACAAATATACCCGAAGACTTAGGAAAAGAGTTCTGTTCGTGTATTGATGATTTGTCACTTTTATCCAGTATTAGAATTCCAAGGGCTTTAGATATAAATGGAAATGAAAGTCTTAGTCTCATACGTCTGTGATGCAAGTAAACAAGCCTATGAATGTGTAATTTATTTAAGAAAAGAAACAAGTGAAAATGTATCGGTGTATTTTCTTCTAGCCAAAAGTAGAGGAAGTCCATTAAGAAAAATGACCATAAATCGTCTAGAATTATTATCCGTGTATAGGAGTCAGACTCGCAGCTCTTGCTTTACAAACACTGAAATTAGACAACGTTCCAAGGAACTATTGGACGATTCGAGTACTGCTCTTTCTGGATCCAAAGAGATGACCATTGGGCGCCATTTGTCGCAAATAAAGTTAAAAGAGATACGAAAATTGTCATCGGAATCTGAATGGCGTCACATTCCAGAAATTGAATCCAGCAGATATACCATCATGAGGGTGTTCGATTAGAGTTTTGTGAATCTCGCTGGTGGCAAGGGCCAGAATGGCTTATGAGAATGGAAGAGTGGCCAACTAGTGAAGTGATTACTAACGAAGAAGAAATTATGAAAGGAAAGCGAAAGAAATTATTTTGACTTTGGCTAATATCACCGCTGAAAAATGGTATCTGATTTACTTTCAAGTTACTTTAAAATTCTGAGAATGATTTCTGATTCTAGTTAAAAAGAGATAAGAAAAAAGTAGAGGTGCTGTAGCAGGTTGTTGCCAATTTTCGCCAAAAATGCCATTACCATAATCCAAAGATACCCATTTGATTTATATGTTATGAGTTTTTCCTTCCAAAACAATTCATAAAAAAATAAAAGAACTACAGTCTCAAAACTTCATATTACAGTTTAAGATCTCAACCAGCTTACTACTGAAAATTTCAAAATATTTAAAAACAGAAAATGTAAAACGTAAAAAAAATGTAAAAAACCCACAATATTTTACAAAATATGCACCACACGGAATAAGAAACATCTTTTATTAGTCACAACAAACCCGTAAAGGCTCATAAAAATTATTAACTGGAAAAATTATAAATTAACATAGGTTATTTCATATCAATGTTGGTTATATTAGAAAGAAAAAGATTTTATTGCTCAAAAATGTGTTTTCTACTATTTGTCCCTTTGCACTCGGGCCATTTTTGCTGTGTGAACCATCACTCGAGACGCTTTCAACCGAATTCGGGAAGTACTTTAAAAACATTTATAAACAAACCAACATATACAAATAATACGATTTCATCAGTTTATTCATTTATATGTCGAAAACAACAAAGTTTGACACGTTTGTGGATTGGTATTGCACGCTGGAATAGTTTCCAGATGAAGCATCCAGAAGATTTGGCTAAATCTGTCTCTTGTAAATATATGCGAATAGAAAGGAATATAACTGACGACATTCCTCGACCAATATTCTTGCAAATTGGCCAACAGCATTGTCCCCATATTGATTACGACAGCAAGAAATGCCCAGAACTCTTTGTTGGTCACATTACATCAGCTTCGCCAAAACGAATTTGCAGATAGCGTCTTCCCTTCCAATTTTCTTTTTGCATATATATTGGTTTCATAAATAATTTTTTCACGAGGTCATTAGTGAAAAACAGTTTTAAAAAAATCTATTGGTTGTTTTATATTAGAAACTATCCATGTTTCTGTAGTGTTTTGGTGAGGTATAAATTGTAAACGTTGCGGCACTTCGTCATAGTCTCTGCAAAGTACCCATGTTGAACTGCTTGCACTTTCAACAGTTTCACTTTCAACAGCACTCTCACCGTCACCGTTGCTTTCTATAATTCTAATTTTCTGTCGGCTCACACCTCTTACTGCTTCACTTTCTTCTCCACTGGATTCATTCGTTTCATGGCTTAATCTGTCGGAAGTCGACGTAGTTCATCATCCAAAGCGGCAAAATTGAATTCATCTGAATTCGAGCTGATCTGATCTTCCTCCATATTTTTAGGGTTCAAACACTTTTTATTTACTATATTTACTGTATTTATATTTACTGTATCTATATTACTATATTTAATCAGTATATGACATATGGTTGTGTTTAAGAATTATATTTTGTCAGAATGTGATTTTTCTTAACAGCTAAAAAAGAAGTCCTTAAGAACAACTAAAATTTTAAAAAAAAAAAAAAAAAAAAAAAAAAAAATCTATAACAATCAGCCTAAACCATAATCCTCAACCTTAAACTCGAAGTAATCAACAAATACCAAACACAAATCCCATCATAACAGTAAAATGTCACATCTCATTTGGTGGTCAGAAAACTACCATATGAACTAGGACAAAGACATTCCTATCAGCCCTTACAGGATTTCACTAACAATTGGCCATTATGGTATGTAGGGTCATCTGGAATAATTTCTCTGTAAAAAATCAGTAATACAGTCAAAAGTCGTTAATCCGGACTCATCGGGACTTCAGTGATTCCGGATTATAGATAATCAGTTTAAATCTTGTAAGATGGCATGCAGAAATTCTAAAATTAAAAATATGAAACCGTACTTTATGAAATAAAGAACAATTATGAGTAAAGGGTATCAAAATTTACAAGAAAAAAAGCTTAATATTTATTTGTTACTTTATTAAACATTTCTTTCAATGCAAGTTGTTTAAGTCGCTTCGTTTTATGTGATAAGACTTTTTCTTAAATTCTATAAACAGACAATTTCTTGTTCAGTTACAAAGTTCCACTGTTCAAGTCCCGTAATTGCGTGCCGAGAATACCGACTAACTTGTCAATCGAAATTTTTCGTTTTCACTAACCTCTCTGTCACCTTCTCATGCTTTATCCATTTTTGCAGCATTACTTTTTGTTTGATGGCATCAAAACATACTTCGTTTTGTAGATCCTTTGGAGCTCCAGCTCGGAAATCTATTGACATAATCGAAAGTTCAAGTTTCTTTTATAAAATGCTCTTACAGTCTACAAAAAATAACAAGCCGGACCTTCGAAGATTAAGGAACAATGCAATCATCAACATTAACTGACGTAGATAATTAGATAATTTAGCTTATACCGTCCGTTATACTTAAACGCGCACGCGAAAATTTATTTGTTGGCTTTGTTTTCCACATGCAAATTTTGATCGGAGGTCGATCGGCGGTAACTAACGTGGTGCTGCTGATTGGCCGATGACGTCAGATCGGCGGTTTGGTGAGTATAATATATATTAAGCTGTATCGGCGAATGTCTTTTCTCTTTGTGATTATCGTAGCATTATGCTGTTTGCTTTCAATCAAATGATTTTAAATGTAAGGCTACAGTGTTAGGCTTTTATTATTCACGGATAAAGCAAGAATTTTTTTAGTTTCTTAGCTTTATTTAAGGGAAGCAAACTCTGCTTTGCCTAGATCCCCACTAGAAATAGGGTTATGGGCCCAGCGCCAACAGCTAGCATGTTACCCAGTTCAACTTATCCACGAAAAGAGGCTGACCTGTCTTAGGTGTTTGTTCAAGTTGTGCTCACACTTAATTTCAGATGTCATTACTACGTGAAGGTTTTGAGCTGTTAAACCATGACAACTGGGATCAATGGAACGTCGATATGAAAATGCTGTTACTGGATAGAAATTATTAGAGCTTCATAGAGGACAAAGAAGAATTGCATAAAAGTGCAACAAGGCGTGAAAAGCAAGACTTCACATTGAGAGAGAATAGAGGATTCACTACATTATATTATGGAACTAAAACTGAGATCAGGCCACTGATACAAGAATGCTCAAGTGGTAAAGAAGCATGAGAAGTTCTACCGAAGCAATTCGAACCCAAAACAAGAGAAAGGATAATTTAGTTACTGGATGAATTTTTTAGCATTAGATATATGCCAAATGAAGAAATAGGATTATTCATCGCAAGGATAAGAATGGCTGCAAAGAAGTTGGCTGATGCTGGTTACAACTTGGCAATCTTTTAAAGGATTCCAGGCAATAAGGAGATTACCCAGGGATACTCCGGCATTGTACAGTTGATATATAGGTGGAAGGACGAAGATTTTACGCTGGAAAGAATTGCTGAAGAATTGGTAAGGGAAGAAAGCCGACTTCGCCAGGTAATTGCCTATTTAGAAGACAGCAAGGTAAGCATGTTTAATACTATTAGTTTAAACGCAGGGAAAGATAAAGTTGAAAATAAAACTAAAAATAAGAAAAAATTGGGGAATATGAGAATAGGACCTTGTTTCAGATGTCATAAATTTGGGCACTTAATTGCTCAATGTAAAGAAAATGTGAGTAAAAATCAGAAGTTTAAAATAGACAATAAAAATGGACAGTTTAAAGATAAGAA